AATAGAATTAGTAGAATTCCACATTAATACTAATAATAATAATAATCTTTCGTATGGCGGTCGGATTAGAATAACTCCACGGTGAGTCCTGCCTCTCGTAGAAGGCGACTAAAAGGACACCAATATGTGGGGGATGGCTAACACCATCGCCCGGTGCGATACCACCACATCAACCCTAGGCGCTGTGAAATGGGTTATACGTTTCAGTAGCTGGTTGATGATTCCGGCCAACATTCCACGCCAACTTTATTCTTCTTCAATACAGAAAAAGCGATGATGAGTTCCTCTCAAGTAATAACATCCGGAAGTAAAATACCTCTCCGTTCGGATTTCCGGGCGAGAGGTGCTAGAGGGGGTTCACCATCGGCTAATAAATGCCTCAAGATAGACTTATGTACCATCCGTGGTCAAAGTAAAACATCAACGATGTTCATCAACACCTTCAAACTGAAAAGCCAGACATATTGGCCAAGACTAAGACACAGGCCAATTCATCCACCGATACGACCTATATGCTCTGTCCTGGGGTACGAACTCCACACACGTCTCAGGTTCAAGGGAGGTATCTCCTTCTATTCTGAAACGAATCTCTCATGTCATCGAGAAGAAACTTTGGAACCAAATAAGTTTGATGTTATGTGGTTCAAACTCGATAACCAGAAACACACCAAATATCTTTGTTGTCTCTTACTTTTCACTAAATTATGCATCTAATGAAGAGCTCTTCCGAGTTTACGTCCCTGAAACTTGCCTAATTCAGCAGAACCATCCAGCAGCAGAAATCACGGCCTGGAGCTGATTATCAAGGAACCCACATGAATTTCCAATTTCAATAACCATTCAGCCAACACACTTGACTTATTGCTCACTAAAATATTACAGCACCTTACAAAATAGATGTACGAACTCCAGTTGGCAATTCTGATTAAACACCCATCTCCACAACGTGCCAATTTTTCATTCCATCAACTGCTCCAGCACCACCACGTTTTGTATCCCATTCTCCGAAAAGATCATAACCTTCAGAACCCTGGTCCAACAAGAACTTTTCGAGAGCTGTTGCATTGAAATAAAAAGCCTAACATTGCTTGAACAAAAGCCTAACCACGTGACTAGAGCAGAATATGTTAAGGCCAGGAATAACTGCAGCCTAACAACAGATGCTTCAAAGTATCATACAATGCCAAAATAAGATCAAAACCCATAGTTTCTTCCAATGGCTCCCGTTTGTTTTGGTCCCTCGCTAAAACAGTCGGAAGGAATTTCACTAATAGTTCATTCTTACCACTCTCTGAAGTTGTCATCACATTAGCAACAACATCGCGAGGGAAAGCAAACATTTATGTAAAGATGTTCGCAGCAAATTCCACCCTAGATTCCCAGGAAAGGGTGCTGCCAACTCGGCTGCCAGACATTCCTCCCATTGAAAGTCGAATGTCCGGAATCGTCTTTCGTCAACTCACTATCAGACACATTCTGTTCGGTCTCAAAACAAATAAGGCTAACCGTCCTGATGGAATTTCACCTATTATTCTCAAAAAGTGTGCACCAGAATTGACACCGATTCTCTGCAAGTTATTCACCATCATCGTACAAGTCGGGTATTTTTCCATCTTGCTGGAAAATAGCTAGAGTCCAACCAAATCCCAAGAAAGAAAACGAAAGCCTGCCCAACAACTATAGGTCAATTGCACTGTTATCAGTCATCCCTGAAATGATGGAGAAAGCCATCAATATTGAGCTCATCAAATATTTGGAAAGCTCAGGAATCATTAACGATAGAGTTTTCGCCATCGAAGATAAACTGGAGACTTACTGGATTACGTCAACCATAATATATGGCAAGCTTCATTAGAAAAACATGAGGAATCTGTAGCGTTGGATATATCGAAGGCATTTGACCATGTTTGGCACCAAGCACACAACAAACCATCAGCTTTGCCATCTTTTATCGAGTTTTCTTTCAGGAAAATCGCTCCATGTGGTGTGGACGGAGTCTATTTTGATAACATTGTCATCAATTCCGGCGTTGCACAAAGACCAATTTTGGCACCAACATTGTTTCTACTTCATATTAATCTATTGGGAGCAACCAATTGCCCTATCCACAGCTTTGCAGACGATAGTACTCTCCATACTGCGTTCACTTCTAGAATTCCCATTTTTTTTCTTCTACACCTTCTAGTTGAATTCAACGCCAACAAAACTCAAGCCTGTATTTTCTCTAAAAAGGCGGATCTCAACATGCGTTATATAACAATGAATCGAATCACCCTCATGTCAAACAATTTACTAGAAACCAACCTTCACTTTGGTGTTTCAAATTGGACCCCCATGTTTTATTTTCGGTTCATTTTATAGAACTTTTCATTCTCAATTCAGTGATATATCGGACTAGATATATAGTAAGAAATCCATCCTCGGAAATTTCGAATAATTTCGATAATTTTTATAAAAAAAATATCGTTAAATCACTTGCTTCACTCACCTTATATGGCCTATTCAGATTTCCTGTGTAGCTCTGATTATTTTTCGAGGAATAACGACTGGGGTGTAATAGTCGAAATGAGAATGAGAAGTTCCATAAGATGAGCCGAAATTTGAAAAATCAAAGTGAGGGGTGGTTTCTTGTAGATTGTTCGACACAAAGATGATCACCATTTTGGAGAGCTTTTGCTCCCATGAATTCCACAATATTTTGAAAATATTTGTGTTAGATAAGTCGGATATCTGTTGGTTTAAAAGCTCTGGTACAGCTTGTTGTGAGTTGCTCCCAAACTTTCATTATGGATTTGTTCAAGAACAAACGAAAGAATCTCTCTTCTATGCTAGCTAGTTCGTGATGGTGGTGGTAAATGTATACGTACGCTGGGTGGTATACACGTACAACCTACAAATTTCAAGGTGACCAATACATTGTTCAGATAATTCTTAAAGATTGTTGATTCAGTGTGCATGTGAGTTGGTATTCCACTATGTTACTTGGTTGCGAATAATGTTTGCGTGAGATTGATGTCTTTATACAAAAGTGATTTGAAAATGTGGAAATCAACTAGGTTTAGTCCATTGTTTCTGCTCGAAATGAGGATTTAATCGTGCGCATGAAGATTGAATTACAAATTTGAATCGGGCAGCTTTATGAAGGATGCGATGTCTGGAATCTCAATATTAGGCCCTATCATTTTTTGTCAACATCCTGGGCTTATATTCAAATCTCGGTGGCTAGAGATTCAATAAAAATGCAAATTTAGAGAGTAACAAAAGGGGGCATTTACACTTGTCGAAAACGTTCGTCAAAGAGAATGGAGAGATGGAGAGAGTTTTCCGAGGCTTCGTTCCGCATTTTCATTAATTCCGAACATATCGTGGATACACGCGTCACCACGGAATTACTCATGGGGGATTTTCATCCGGCCCATTTTAACCCCACGATGTACTTAAACTTAATCGGATTTATTCGGAAACGAACCGATATATTGCGCAGTGCCTCTACTAATCGCCTGGATGACAGTTTTCAATACGCTTGACTTACCGCTAACCAACATATTTAACATATTTGTATTAGATTTATAATTGAAAAATTAGCATATCCTTTACGTTTCCATCCGATCCGTATCAGATCCTGTTATCGTCGAAACTCTGGTGAAATTAAAATTCTTCAGGGATTTTAAAATGTGGATGTATCTTGTCAGATAAAAAACGTCATTTGAAATGTCGATCAAATTAATAGACCCGCGTCGTCTTAATGTTTCAATGATTTCGATAATCACATAATCATCTACTTAATACATATAGTTAATGAGTATAATGAAAAATCGACTCGACCTCTATAACATTAACACGATGCTACAGGGTGTTTTGTTATTCAGTTGGCAACGCTTTATAGGTGACAACCCTCGTGAATTACACACATAAAAAAGATTTCTCGTTCCAGGAATATATTTTTTTTCAGAAAGAATTACTCCGAATGAGAATATATTTTATAATTCTGAATAACTATTCTTGAGAATAGCATTTCGGTCTCCTCAAATCAATATTTTCATTTCGTCGACTTAATTGCTTCATTCAAGAATACATACTTCATTTAAGAATTTTCAAATTCTCTTGTGAAAAAAATATGGATTCTTGTATCAAATATCACTATTATCTTGATTCAATATTTATATCATATATTGATTTGTTCACTCGAATTTTCCATTAATTTGTTTTGAAGAATTATTGACTTCGTATCGAACATCACCAATCTCGATTTAATATACATTATCCAATATTTTCTTCATCTTCCATCTCACCGACAGCGATCGCTTGGACAGCTATAAAGTCTCAGGTAGGGTATGTCATTTAATTATATTCTTCATTGAAATTTTTCGACATCTTTGGTTCAAACCAATATATTTATTGTTACACCAAGTAGCTTCTTATAGTCAGAAATAATTGTATTATTGAAGCAAGAAATCAATATTGTCAAGGTATATAAATAACAATTTCACATACTTGGCTCAAATAAATTGTTTTTCCAGTTGAGAATAACATATATTCAAGTTGAACATTTTCATTTCATTGTATGGAATATTTGAAATTTGTAAGAAAATATTTATTTGAGTATATATAAACGAACCATATGCTTGAATTAAAGCATATTTTGTTGGTTATAAGAAATTATTTTTTTGTGTGTACAGAAAAATCAGGTAGACCTAATATAAGCCACTAAAGTACATTATTCTCGAGTTATGAGATGTTGAAATTGAAATGATAAAAAAATCTCTATGAAACTTGTATGCATTCAGTATTTGTTGAAAGAGCTTCAAAAAAATCAAGACAAATTGCAGATCTTGAAGGAAACGGAAAATATTGTTCAACGGATTCATAAAAATCATTCCCATTTTTTATCATGTGACATTGATATAGATATGTGATAGGAATGTTTTTTTAACAGTATTACGAAAAGAAGGAGTTGTGGAGCATTCATCATGTGGAAAACAATAAGTGCTTTTACTCACCTTCACTTGAGATTCGGTCATTCCTAAAGCGTACGCTAATTTCGCTCTTTCTGGGCCTGCCAGGTATTTGGTTTGTTCGAAGGTTTTTTCTAAGGCGAATATCTGTTGGCCGGAGAAGGTGGGCCTCGTGTGCTTCTTTTTCGCATCCTTGTCACCTCCTAGTCCACCCATATTACCCTGGTTCACTGGAATGAAAAATAATATTATACATAAGGCCTAAACCGACTTCAACCTCATGATATTCATTATTCCATTGAAGAACAGCGAATAACGTGCGACCCCGCGTATAGTTGCATTTAATTGATATGGGATAAGGGTGCATTTTTTTGTGTTGAAGCTGCCAAAATTTCATATTTTCTCATCAAATAGATATATCAAATTTGCATATCGATTTGTTACACCCCTGAAAGCTATTTTGGAATTCACCTGATTTCATTTTGTTTGGCACTCATCTTTTTGGGTCTTTCATAAGGGTCTAGTTGTCTAAGGAGCCAAGTTCACAAGCTTTTTCTTCGTTATTTGTATCATCAGTTGGTGAAATTTTGGCCATATAAATTCTGGACACCCGGAAAAAGTAGTCCTCGAAATCAAATAGCAGATAAGATGACTAAATTCAACGAATTAAGAGAACTAAGAAGATTCCCCCCCTTAATAAGCCATCTTTTGATGACAATGATGCTTGGTGATTTCGATTTAATAAATCATAATGTTTCGTGTATTTACATATTTATTTGAGCTATGGTGACGTGTTCAGCTTATCAATGTGGAAATTCGAGCAATAAGAGAGAACCTGGGAATCCTGGGATCAATTTTCATAGGTAAGTCCTTCTGGTTTTAGCGTTGTTATGAATAAAAATAGACGTTTGCTAAATTCGCTTCCATTATTTTGTATTGCAAAGCTTGTCAAATAGTTACCAAGTTATTATCCAAAAGAAATATTTTCAACGTATTTTCGACTGATAAAAGTGTGAGGTTATACTGTGTAGGCCATTCATGGGCGTGCGTACGGAGTGGGCAATACGGAGTACGTAATCCGAGACATAATCTGTTTGGTGCCTTGATTATGGTTTCACTTTCAGAGTGATCGGGCATTTCCTTAGTTCTCTTAATTCGTTGGCTTAATTTTTTCAAAACGATCTGATTAAAAATGTGACTACCTATTTCATGTCTCATATTTGTCACACGGAGAGAAATATGTAGAACATATTTTATGGTATAGAAATTCTACCACCCTCTGGGATAAAATATGTCAATCTAGAAAATATTTGTCTTTCTCCTAAGTAACTTTTTATTCAACATACAATTTTCTTATTATTAGAATAAGCATATGCTTATTTCAAATGTATATCCAAATTCTCGGTATATCTTATGTTGAATATTACCATAAAGTATGTTTGTCAAAATGAAAATAATAATTTCCCATTTTGTACCATATAATGCTTTCTTCATAAATATCCACCTCTTATAGAATATAATTTGCTCTTAGAAGAGCCTAATATGTATGTTAGATATGAGGATACTGTTCTTTTCAAAAGAGATTTTACAGGCGCGGATCCAGCAGTACGCTTACAGTCGTGAACAAAGGAGAATAAACGAAACACCATGCAGAGACAATTTTTTTTCTGGTTCAAGATCAAAGGCATACGAATAGAAATTCAAGTTCCTGAAGAGACTATCAAATTGGTATATATAGGTAATTTTTTCTTCTGAAGTGGTATTTTATGTGAATCTGTATACTATAATTTATTCAAAACATCAAACATATCACTGAACAACACAGTTTATTCAATATTTTGAGTATCAGTGTACCTATTTGATTTCTGAGAAAATTTGAGAACTTCATCGAGAAAAATACTAGGAAGCGCAGGAATCAAAACGATTTGACGGAATTTCGAATCCAGCATTCCAGCAATCGCCTGATGATTTTTGCTCCACTTAGTCTCGCAAAACTATCGACTTCTGAATAGTAGGTTTCTAACGTTGAAGTAGTAATATTCATACAAATACAAGAATTTCTGGCAGACATACTTTTTCAGGTTATTTTCAGAATTCCATGTGAATTTCCTATTCGCGGATACCTATTGATATAAATATTGAATTTTTTTTTGACATTCATCCAAATTTCAGGATTCAAAAATCATTTACCAAATAAGAGTTTCAAAAATGAATATTCATCTAGGCGACACCTGTATACCCCCCTGGATTCGTGCCTGGTGCAATTCCGCTTACTCGAGTTATTTTTAGACTAAAACGAAACGCTAACGATGCACAGTGCAGTGAGCAGTGCGCAGTTACATTTTAGCAGTAATAGTGGGAACAGCTTGGGCGACAGCCTATAGAGTATAGAGTCTTTAATTCATAATCCTAAGTTTTTTTGTGCGTGGTATTGAGTCTAAGAGTGTGTTGGTGAAAATTATGAATTCGGTAAAATTGGAAACTCTTTCCAATGAGTTAGGGATGACTGAACACAATGTTGAAGCAGTATTTTTTTCATGTTCTGGTTCCCACGAAAAGAAAGATCCTGTAACGTTCAGAAAACATCGTGAGAACCAAGGGAACTGAGGTATAAATTGATGTTCTTCTCAAACTGAAGGTTATATGACTTGGGAAACACCTCCCATGGCAGTGTTCCAGAGCCTCGCTGTTCGTTGGATGGACGAGTCTTTGGAAAAAGATGTTCTGCATGTCTCCAAAGTGACGACAAAGGGGTGCGAAGCCTCAAATATAATATGATGTTATAATCACACATTTATTTGTGGAAATAAATTATTATTATTATCATACCATGTCTTCAAACTGAGAATACAAATATTTCCATTGATTGAATATCCATCTCATAATCATAAATATAACATTATTCCAATTTTGAAAAGAATGTGTCAATCTATAGACATATAAAGTCATTAGAAATGAGAATACAGTATTTCATAAGGAAGTATAATGTATAGTTCTTTTTACAAAAAAGTATGTTTGGTATGGACAATGAACGTGTGCTTTGAATTACTATAAAATATTCTCAGATATATTACAATAATTTATGTTGGTACCTACAATATTTCTCCCATATAATTGTATCATAATACTTAGTATATTTTATTGCTGTCACATATAGTACCAGAAATTTTGGTAATCTGTACAATAATTCTGGTAATACCTGCTATCTATTTTTCTCCGTGCATGATCGTCAAAATCACTATTCTATACAGGGTGTGAATAAATATATACGAATCAATTCTGGAGATGATTTCTTGTCATATTTGAGGAAATGAAGTTCATATACACATGTGTCCTAACTTGATTCGTTTTTGAGATACAGTATTCATACATACATATACAGGAATTCGAAGTACTTATTCATCGATTTTTCATTAACCTCCTGTGAGCCCTGTCAAGGTGACAAAATCTATTCTGATTTTTGACAAAGTCTCGCAATATATTATTATTATTTAGGTTACTGAATAATCTCAATAGGTATTTTGAAATATGGAGTCAAAGTCGAATCGAATTCTTATTGTTTCCCAAAAAAACTAAGTGACATTCAAGAGCATCACAAGAGATGAATTGTTCAATCTATTGAGAAAACTAGACAGAAAAACCAGTGTCGTACCATGAATATTAGAAAAGTGGCGCAATACGACGCCACTGGAATCATTATTTCGGATCTAATATTATACACGAAATGATTATCATTAACAAAACCATTAGGTTTCAATGGAAGTTGAGAAAAAGACTTTTGACTAATCAATAAAAACCGATGGTAACATATTGATACCCTGTATCTTGTAAACGAAGCAAGTTAAATTAGAACGAATGTGAATATGCACTTTTTTATCTAATGACAAGAAATCATGCCCTAAATGTTTTCCGTTACAACATTGCGAGAATGCATGAGGATACTGAGTTCTGGAAACAATAATTGTGTCATTCCATCATAAATCGTGAATTACAAAAGTGATGGCTCTAAAGTAATATGATATATAAACAGTAAATTTTAACTGCAATGCATATTTGAATCAACATTAATAAAATGGCTATGATATGGCTATGAGGATTTTATATCCATTCCATCATTTTATTTTTATAGGTTGAAATCATAAAAATGTCAAAAAAAGATTAAGATTTGTTGGTATAATATAAAATGATGACATGGAGTTTAGATCGACCATAAGTACTATATTCACAGCATTTCAATGATGAATAGGTACTTGATAATACATAAATATGTATATATGTATACCTACTCTGGTATAACGACAGTTGTGTCATGTCAATGTGAAAAGTCAGTTTATTTTCAGTGCCTAAATTTAATCTACTGAAAATTTTATAATTATCATTTTATATAAACGATAAAATATACTGGGTGATGAATTGAATAGTGCCAATTCAGATATCTGAGTTCTGAGGAACCCAACATGATCAATATATCATATTGATTATGTTGGGTCATTGAATTGTGGGATACATGCAGGATGGTTATTGCTTGCGATAGGTTATAGTAACGTATATTAACCTCAGAACCTCAAGTTATATTCAGCAGTGGATCTCAATGCAAACATTTCATTTTGTTCCAGAATAGAAAAATAAACATGGGCAATATCAAAAACTGATTTGAAATTTCATAGAGCTATATTTTTCACAGATATTTCGAATACGTTGTTTTCTTTGAGAGTTTGAGTATATAGATATATACAATAAAAAACTTGTTAATTCATTATAGGGAATAACATTGTGGAATAGTTAATAGCATTTGGTCCAGGTCCCAAGGGCGAACCCTGCAGCATACCACGCCAATCAATCATAAGAAGACAGAGTGTGTATGTGTATGTGAATCTGGAGTATATCTTTTACATCAGAATATGACAATTTGAACGATAGGGGAATTCTAAATTTCGAAGAAGACTCAATGTGAATTTGCTGATGCAAGAAGTCATAAAATTCAGTTGTGTTTTCTCTATAAAGCAATTGTTACAGTGGCTGTGAAAAGTTCAATAGTCAACCGATAGAAGCACTAAGAAAGCGGATATGTGCCCTGAATACGGAATACCCAGGCCCAACCCGAATTCCGGAAACAAAAATGTGGAAAATGATTTCCTGGGCGAAATCTCTTTATCTCACTCTCTCAACACATGTTACAAGACCTGACTGGCCGCCGAGACCATGTTAGAGTGTAGTTTCAGTGATTTCA